CCCACACGCATCAACCCTAATCCATGCTCGATCTTCATTCTAAGATTTCTCTACTTGCATCAGTTGTTATCATGCTCAGCTTCCCAGTAAATCAAGGATCTGATCTGGCTGGCTGATGGAAGAAAACTGTTAGAGACCATGGTGTCAACTATCTAAGTTGGCCTTTTAGTCTACAGCTTTGAATATACAACATGTATTAAGAAATAATAATAGACCTCATGCAAAAGATTAGTGATGGTCATTTCATTCACTGGGCTAATAGCCAACTTGTCTCCAAGTTTAATACTGAAGAGTGATTCTTAATATTAAACTCTAATACTACTCTTGTAATAGAACCATGAATTTTATTGGCAAACCAAGGACATATTGCATACTTAATTTGAAAGCTAATGTTACAAAATTACTAGAGCTGCAACATTATCTCACTATGAAGCCAATGCACCCAACCAATAAACCCAATAAAATAAACCCCATACAAGCAGGGGAAAATTGAGACCTCACTCAACTTTTACATCTCTAACACCAACCTACCAACCTCCTACACAATTTGGTAGCTTGCACAAATTCTAAACTGCATATAGAGCCTACATAAGTATAGCAGACCTGCTTTTACAAATGCACACTTTTAAGAATGGTGGTAGGGCCAGGAATTGGCCTATACTTCCTCTTTCCCCTTAAACAATTTTCATTGATTAAGAAGCACATCACTCTATGAAGGCACAGATGTGAACACAATAGCAAAATCCTCATTGAAATCAATGTATCCAACCAGACATAAAACAACTGAAATTGAGGGAAATACTGAAGAGAAGACTTGGCTTGGCATGCCAAATGGGTTGTCATAATTCATTTTCTGACCCTCATTTTTTGGGGGGTATCATTTATCCACATCTCCCACGGAATCCCTGTTTTTCTTCTAGGAAAGCATCCCAGCAGTTTCTAGAGCATTGCAGGACGTTTGGGATGAGATCTAGGATCCAGTACAAGAATGAGTAACCTGTGGATAGGTTCTTGAGTAGGGGCAGGTTCAGGCAAAAAGTAAACATACAGAGATGGTGAAAGATGGCAAGGATTCAGGCGAGGGCTATTTGTAAAGGAGATGAAGGAAAGGAAAGAGGAAACAAACCCTAATAGATCCTCTCCAGGTTTCTTTCCCCATATCAGTTATTAAGTTTAAAACCCCCAGGTTAAAAAGGTTAGAGATATATGTGCTCCAAAGTCCCTTGAATTTGAAAAACATGCACTAAAATAAATGAACCTTACTTGATAGGTTTTAAGGCATTACAGCTGTATATACCAGCCAGTGTTGCACTACTAAGTATTAAAAGAATCAGCTCTGAGAACATTAGATGATTAAAAATAAAAACAAAAACAAACAAACAAAACAAAACCCTTCCAAAGCCTATGGGCTTGATTCTGCTGCCATTCTTATTAAGCCTTGAGAACACAAATATGAATTACTGTTGTGCTGAGTCTTAGTGGCAGTAAAGGGGGATTGAAAATTGTTGTTTGAAACTCAAGTAAAAAGGGACAACAGGAAAAAAAAACCTACAGAGGGTAAAATATTTGACTGAAGGTCTGAAGCACATATTAATGAGAAGCAGACTCATGGGAAAGAAGGCTCCAGGGTACCTTAAAAATATATATATGGATACTAAATATTGATAACTAGCTGCCATAGATCAGAGGCTCAAGTGATATCAGCAGAATTAGGTAGTGGGAATTTTTCTAGGCTCCTAACTTGTAAGAAAATTGATGAAATGTTGGCTTCCAGTCTATGACCAGAGCTAATCCAAGTACCATTTGCAAATGGTCTTCTCACTGGTGGCATCTCAAATTTGGAACACCCTCTGCTGACACCAATGTTCTGCCTTTTCCAGTGGCAAACTGAAATATTTTTCTATGCACAATGCTTTTGAAGTAATTCTTGAATCCCACTCTATGTTTACAATTCAACTTATTTTATTGTATTTAATTTTTTCTGACCTAAAGCTTTAGGATGAAGATGCGATACACAAATTCCCCAAACACCTATAGAATCCAAGAGGGAATTTACAGAGGCGAAGCTGAAAACATGCAAAAGAACTGCAGATTGTCAGCTCTGTTGAGAGAAGCAAGTAAAAATGGAATCTACATTACCTGCAGGATTAAGCAGTAATTTATAAACATTAGATTCCCAAGGAAATCACAATGTGTTCAAAGAAAATCATCTCAACCAGCCATATGCCAAGAGTGCATTTTTCCAACCCAAATGTAGGTGAGGAAACTTTGACCATACTAGTGCTACAGAAGCAATAAGTAAGAACTGTGGCAGGATCAACTTCCTTCATAATTTTGCTTCAGAGATGCCCCCCCCCCTTCCTCTCAGGGAAGAATATTTTAAAGAATCAAAATTGTTTTATCTCCTTCAGTATTTTAATGAGATTCCTCCCCATTGCCACTTATGGGTTAAGAAAACGCATCCACTGTAATCACCTCTGGTCAATGGCTTGTGAAGAACTGGTGCTTAAATAATATATCTGCAAGGAGCCCAAAATCTACTCCCTGACACATCTTTTGTACAACTTGGAATGTGAACGTACTAACATGATACACTCTGCAGATGTTCACTGTGAGTATGTGGGTGTACACAAAAATTTATCATCTCTTAGCTGAGTATGGTGGTTTAAACCAGGGGTCTCCAACCTTGGCAACTTTAAGACTTGTGGACTTCAACTCCCAGAGTTCAAGTCCACAACTCTTAAAGTTGCCAAGATTGGAAACACCTGGTTTAAAAGACTTCTATTCATGTTTGCTGGAACACAACTCAGTTCAGCCAAGAGCCTGATTACAGGTAGTCCTCGCCTTACAACAGTTCACTTAGTGACTGTTTGAAGTTAGAACAGCACTGAAAAAAGTGACTTATGACCATTTTTCACACTTATGACTATTACAGCATCCCCATGGTTACCTGATTTACATTCGGATGCTTGACAACTGATTCACATTTATTGTGAGTGTTATGTGTCTTTGGGTGTTATGTGAATTTCGTTGTATGGGTATACTGTGTATACACGTACAATGACAATAAACTTTCTTTCTTTCTTTCTTTCTTTCTTTCTTTCTTTCTTTCTTATTTATGGATGGATGGATGGATGGATGGATGGATGGATGGATGGATGGATGCAGGCAGGTCTCGGGCTCATGTGATTTACCTTTTGCGACCTTCTGACAAGCAAAGTCAATGGGGGAAGCCAGATTCACTTAACAACCACGTTACTCATTTAACAATTACAGGGACTCACTTAACACATGTGGCAAGAAAAGTCGTAAAATGGGGCAAAACAAATTTCTCACTTAACGACACAAATGTTGGGCTCAATTGTGGTCGTAAGTTGAGGACTACCCATACATTCAAACAGAAGCTCTCTCTCACTTTTTGATCATATTTGAAATACCAGGGGTGGACAGCAGCCTAGAGGCCGGGTCTGCAGGCCCACCCTTATAGCCAAGTACTTTTGAATCCTCTTGGGAACAGGCTGAACATCTGCAGAAGCCTAATCAATATGGGAAAGAGTAACGAATCATTATGTGAAAGCCACTTGCAAGCAGAACTCCTTGGTCTGAATAATCTGGTGTTTCTTTGACAAACCAGCGACTATTTGACACATCTGATGTAGCACAACATGCAGAATCTCCCCCTGAAGGAACAGAAAATTAGGGCCGGGTAATTAAGGTAATTAACCATGAAAATGCAGTGAGCATGTGTGATGTAATTTGCTATGATGTCAGCGGGCTGGATTTTTTAAATGCCACGTTATTGTTTCTATAAGTGCTTAAGACCTTTGCTTACCAGAGCATAGTCGGTGCATTAAATCAAGTCACAATGTTAATAAGTTTAGTTCGGTGTGGTCATTCCACACCAACTGGCAAGAGTTCTCTGAGATTAAAGGCAGATATAATGTCCTACCTTTTTTTTTTTACTAGTGATGCCTTTATCATGTAAAATCACTGAACTATCTGCTTTTTCCTGAGCAAGGTGAGGACAGGATGCTAATTTGCTTGCATTCCATAACAGAATCTCACAGTGACATCAACTGGAATAAACTGTAGAGAGTTGACTGGAGTGAACTGTTATGTTGTAGAAGACTATTATTAAGGCTTTCCTGAAAGAGATGATTACATTGGAGGCATATTAATTCTTCCCTCTTCAACATTTAAATAAAAACCTTTTGAATCAAAAGAAAGTGGCAATAAGCAGACTTCGCTACTGGAGGAATTTGTTTGCAGGATCTGCTATGTCAGAGATTAATATAGTAATATAGTATACTGTATCATTATTTAGTAATACCGAATCCCATTATAGTAAAAACTAATTTGCTATATGAAAATTATTTGAGTCCGTTCTTGAAAACTGATTGAAAGATTATTCTCAAAGTAATGAACAGTATGGAACTGTTACTGCTTTTTTTAAAAAAGAAATGATTAATTTGGTTCATGAAAAGAGTAGCTAATTGATGAGAGCAGCCTTCCCCAACCAGATGCCCTCTGGATGTGTTGGATTTTAAATTTCATAATTCCCAGTCAGCATAACCCACAGGAGAAGAAATTTATCATATCTGGAAGGCGGCAAATTGGGGAATCCTAGATTAATTTGGTAATCCAAGGTTTTGATGGTCAAGGATAATTCAATCCATTAAGTATATACAGCTAACATGATCAAGATTCTATTGGCTTGAGTTTTGAAGTGTTTTAGTATTGAATCTTGGCAGATTCTTTAAAATAAATATTAGGCAACTGTTGGGCTATTTAGGCCATCAAAAAGCTTTTATATATCCATTAATTCATCTCTGAGAAAGAGAAGGAACTAGATCCTGCTACAAGGTTCTTGTGTAGAGAAGGTAAGTATGGAAACTAGAGGAAAGGAGAGGACAGTCCATGTTGACCATGTTTACCTGTGATGGATGAAAATTATAGGGTTAAATACAGATGACTTAAAATAAAGAAAATTAGTTACTTACACAGTTTCATCATTCTTGAATTCCAGTTCTCCATAACTGTCTTCAAAATCCTCTCCACCTCCTTTTGCTGTTCCTTCAACTGTTCTAAAGGGGACTATGACTGTACCCCGTGCACCAGATGTTCTAAGAACTTTCACCTCCATCACCCCAATGCTCTCACTGATATGTATCACATCACACTCGAAGGTGAAGATGCCTGCATGGTCATCATCTAAGATAGTCACAGTAGCCAGACAAGGTGAGACCAGTATGGCCTTGGGATATGGCAGTTTGTTGTGTTCAGGGGGTTCCTCTGCATCAATCACCCGTAGGTTGCTAAGACGCACAAAAAAGTGCTCATCCTCTTCAAAGATATCATCATCAATAATCCCTATGGAGAACTCTTTCTGGGTCTCCCCAGACTTCAAAACAACTGTCCCTTCTGTAAATTCATAGTCAGCCCCAGCGTTAGCAGAGCCATCTTCTGTTTTGTAATCCACATATAGGGTCTTGGAGACATCACCTCCTTTCCGGACAACAGTTAGGAGGACAGCACCACAGTTCTCAAGACACTGATAGGAGCAAGGGTCAAAATAAATTTTGGAGATGAATTCTTCTGGCTCCTCTGGCCGTACTTCATGCAAGCTAGTACTCCTCTTGGCTTGCTCAGCTGCATGCTTTTTGAGAATATTTCCTGCTCCAGTCATCATCCTGGTAGCTTGAATCCGATAGAATGCTCTGCTTTTTTGCTGGTGGGATAAAGCATAGTAGTTGGCCATTTCTACCAGCTGATCTAAGTCTTTTTCTGGGTGCTTTTGTTTCAAGTCCTTGAGGATCCGGATCATCTCTTTGCGAGACTCATCCACCTCTTTTCCCTCCATAGGCACTAGGTTTCCATCTAAAAAATGGGAGTTCATCATCTTACCATCCATTTCAATCCCTTTGGGGTGATCCCCTTCTGTCTCAATGATAATACCCCTGTGTTTGTCAGTACGGTACTTTTTGTGCATATATTTATAGAGAAACAGCCTTCTGTCTGCAATCCAAGCCAGGATGACACAAACAGGGAAGAAAAACAGAGTGAGTAAGCCTTCCCATACCTGAACCACACCTGGAGAAAAGACCGCAAGGATCATGTATAACCAGATATAGGCAAAGATGCTCCAAGCAGCCGTGACAAAGAAAACCCTCAAATGTTTTATCTTCCTCGTCTCCCCATCAGGAATGACATAGACACAGATGGCTATGATGATAAACATATTGAAAGCTGCACTACCAACGATGGTAGAAGGGCCCAGCTCACCAGCAATGAATCCATGACCACATACCTCTATCAATGACAAAAGGATCTCTGGGGCAGAGGAACCAAGAGCCATGAGGGTCAAATTGGAAACAGTTTCATTCCATATTCGGATGGTGGTGGTGATGGCTTCTCCGTTGGGTTTCCTGACTGTAATCTCTTTCTCTTGGGATGTAATGACTTCTATGGAAGCCATGAAACGGTCAGCAATGATAGAAACGCCAAGAAACATATATATGAGTGCCACAAAATAAACAATAACTCTGGCAATTTTGTCCCCCAAGGATGGATTTTCTGGGTACCATATTGGCAAGATAACACCCTCCTTGCACTCAGAAGAACCGGAGCATGAGGTGTTATGTCCTATGTTTGGTGAATCTGTCCCTGTGCCAGCATCTACTTGTAGACCATGTAAAAATAGGACAAAAGTAAAGAGCCCAAACCGGAGGAAGGCTGAGGTGACAGGTTGTAACTTTAACCGCGCCATACACAAGGCTTAACATCCACAGCACAGGAGCAAAGGTCTTCTGTTCAGGTTAAGAATCTGAAATAAAGAGATTAAAACCATGAGACTGAAAGAAATAAAACGAAGAACTGACATTGCAATTAATGCCATTAATATTAATGTGTTCTCTTATTCACAACTAGTTATACTACCTTATGTATCATAAGAGCCTTGGTAGTACAGTGGTCTAAGGCACCCTGTTATTAAGCTGGTTATTAAGACCAGCTGCCTGCAATTACTGCAGGTTCGAATCTCACCAAGGCTCAAGGTTGACTCAGCCTTCCATCCTTTCTAAGGTAGGTAAATTGAGGACCCAGTTGTGGGGGCAATAAACTGACTTTGTATAAATATACAAAAAGAATGAAGGCTATTGCTTAGCGCATTGTAAGCCGCCCTGAGTCTCCGGAGAAGGGCGGCATATAAATCAAATTTTAAAAAAATTCATATTTGGTTAATTTTACATGGATCACGCAAGATTGAATTATTTGTTTATTATAGGGGTGTCAAACTCGAGGCCCATGGGCCGTATGCAGCCGTCAGGGTGCTCAAATCTGGCCCACAGGGCCAGCCTGGAAATAGCAAAGGACCAGCCCACGGTGGCTCTGGCAGCCAAAATGGGGCACGGGGGGGGGGGGGGCGTGCGGCCTCCTTGTGCCCTATTTTTGGCATGAACGGCCTCCTACACTACCCTGTCGGCCAAAATGGGATGCGGGGGAGGTGTTTTGGCTGGCATGGTACTGCAGGAGGCATCCGTCCTATCCCCCCACCCCACCCCCGAACCGACCCATGGAGGAGAACTACAATGCTGATCTGGCCCTCAAAGAAATCCAGTTTGATATCCTTGGCTTATCAGTAGAATAGAGGGAAACTGTCTGTACTGAGCACAGAATAACCAACCTTGTTATTTATCTTAGACATGATTAGTATCTTGATATCAACTGAATTGTTATCAAAGAATCACACCAGGTATTCCAATTTTGCCCTAAAGCAAGATAACATGATAAATTGGTACTTGTTTATGATATAATCCTATGAATTTTGGTTAGAATAAGATCCTAGTAATTCCTAGTAAAGAGCTGCAAATAGTTGTGAAGTCAACACTAACTTTAACTGACTGATTGCAACTCTACCACCAAGGAGATTGGACTGAAAGATCCCTTCTAAAACACTCAATAAATTCAGTGCCTGAATAGGAAGTTGAACTGGGTTTCCCTGGTTTAGCTTTTCTTGGTCCAAATCCAGCATCTTAACCAGATTTTGTTTTGATTTGAATTGTGTGAGCAGCTGTCCACCTTACAAGGTAGTCCAGACAAGAAGCACATCCAGAAGTACTAGCTCTATCATTACGGTACATTAAACAATCTTGAAAGTCTGAAAGTAGAAGTCTCTCCCCTCACCTTTACAGTTCAAGAAGCTAGGGATGGTCCCTTTGAGGATGTTTACCTACACCTTATCTGACTATTGCCTACTCTGTCACTCTTCCTTCTGTCTTCCAACTTCATTCCCACATACTGTAACAACCTTGAGGATATGGCATAGTTATTGAAAATAAATAAATATAGAACAGGTTCAATATTTCAGAAGGATGATAATATTTTCTGTTAAGAACTGGGTGTCCACATTAGTGGACAGGCACATAGATCTCATTTGAAAATCTAGTAAGATATAGTTAATGTGGCTCAAGTCTACTCTCTTTTCTTTTTCTTTTGGAAAGCCTCATCAAAGAAGATTGGCGAAATAGCACTGTAACATAGGGCCACTATTTTTGACTATTACACAGTGAAGAAAAGCAGCATCAATAAAAATAAATCCGATTTGTAATAAACTTTAAAATCTGTATGTGAAATAGTGTTTAGCTTGAGTATACTAATTTTAATCCCAGAATTGAAAAATGGTTTTCTAAAAAAGGTTTTCCTAGGGTGATGTCCCTTGATATGTAATCCAGACCTGCTGGACTGCAGCTGACAAAATTCTTAGTTCACAATTCTGGGAGATGTAGTTCAATGAATCTAAATTGGGAAAAGCTGCTTTAGAAAATTCTGTAAAATTTAGGACAGCCTACAGTGAAACAACAACAAATACCTATGTGTGCTTCAGGCATTTATTAAACCTGGCTGCAACTAATTTTCAGGGCTAGAACAGAAAATAGTGTCCAGCACTCAACATCCCTGGACTAAAAAAATGATTATACAGGTAGTCCTTGACGTACGTCTATATTTCTGTTGTTAAGTGAGACATTTGTTAAGTGAGTTTTGCCTCATCCTATGACCTTTTTTTGCCACAATTAACTAGAATCACTGCAGTTGTTAAAATAGTAACAAGATTGTTACATGAATCTGACTTCCCCATTGATTTTGCCTGTCAGAAGGCCGGAAAAGGTGATCACATCACCTCAGGACACTGCAACTGTCATAAATACAAGTCAGTTGCCAAGCACCTGAATTTTGATCATATGACCAAGGGGATGCTGCAACGGTCATAAGTGTGAAAATTGGTCATAAGCCACTTTTTCAGTGCCATTGTAATTTAGAATGATTACTAAATGAACTGTTGTAAGTCGAGGACTACCTGTAGTTGGCAAAGTTGAGGGAAGAAGAAGTGAAAGACAACAGATAAAATGGAAGGATTGAGTCAAAGACATATTTCTAGGCAGCAGTTGTCTGTGTAATTGTCTGCCATCAGAAGTCAATGCCATTCTAACTAACTCATGTCAGTGGGTAAACAAGCTATTTTGACATTTGAGGCCAATTACCTATACGTTCTTCTTGCTGATAGTCCAAATGCAACATAAATAAATTAAATGTTATGGGTTGCCCTTTCATGATATTCCAAATGCCTTGTTCTGTTAATAATATGGATGGACAGCTCCATTAACATTGCCAACATGGAGAAATACAGCATTTTTAATTTTTGAGCCATCAATACGGATAGCAAAATCAGCAGGGGTCGTGTGGGGTGAGGCAAAAGCTTAGAAAATATTTATGCTGCCTTGAAATCTCCTTCCGTCCTCCTCAGGAATTCAATCTCACATTTTGAGAAGGAGACTCAAAACACAAGGCCTATTACTGCTCACTATTGCCAAGGTCTATCTACTGTTTTCTGAAGTCTGAATTTAAACAATCTATTTGCAAGCTCAAATGGTCAGACATCCCTATTTGGGGAAATGTTCAGTAGCATTGTTAGAAGAACTTTATGCACACAGAATGAAATAGTTTACATGCCTAATGATAGACCGGAAATACAGGTTATTGAAAATCCAAACAAAATATAATATAATGTACATTGCAGGAATCATTTGAACATTATTAATGTAAACAGGTATATCTAAAAGGGAACTTTTCTGACTGGTGTAAGAAATAAGGGAATTCAAAAATAAAATAGTATATATTCCCTTACTATAAAATAGTAAGGGAATAATAATAAATGAATAGAAACTTGTTAATCTATTGTACAATATTTGTTATGCTGCTACAAAAGTATTTTCCATTTAAGCATTAATTTGTTAAGCATTTATAATACATGCATCTCTGTAAAAACATATGTATGGAATCCATTGTATCCTTCCTGCATTAAGATCTAAATATGACTGAATTTTACAATGTAGTTAAATTATATGCTTTGTGGAACTTCTCCCATGTCTATGGTGCATATGCTTGGAGAAGGACATGTGGGCATTGGCACAGGAGAAGGGCCCTGCTGAGGGTGAATGGAGACATTTCTTAATGCTAGAGAGCTCATAGATGTTACGTAATAATGTATTAACAGATAGGTACAGATAGGTATGGGAGAAGAGAAAGTAATCTGAGAAAACAAAGAGAGAGATAATGTATTCCTCTGAGGCATCTTGGATTAGCTAAAACCCCGGAGGGCTTGTCCAATAAGTCCAAAGGAAGCGGGAAATGGGCCATCGGGATAGAACTGTATACAATGAATGTTTTTGAAATCTAAGGGTGTGGTTTCCTGGCTCAAACTCCTTGTTGAGGTCTATGCTGGGATACCCCACTGCATTTTGCAAAATTGCTTTCTTGTTTATTTTGAAATAAAATCTCTGTGTTTTCACCGACCCAAGATTGTTTGTTGAAGTCATTTCCAACACTGGGTTGTCTCACTCATTTCTTCCTAAATATCAATGATCATTGGTGTTTAATATCAATTAATAATAAAAAAAGCTTCTAGATAAGACTATTTAATGACAACCAAAAGTAGAAGAAACGAACAAATAAGGATACAAACGGTAAGAAACAGGGCTGACAAAGTGAAGGAAACGAAGTGAAGATAACTGATTTTGTAATATCTGGATCACAAATCCATATCAAGCAGTCTTGAGATGGTTGAAGATTGAAATGAAATAACACATCTTCTAGGCCATGGGTCCCCAACCCCTGGTCTGTGGACTGGTATTGGACCAGGGCATGCCAGAAACCAGGCCACACAAATAAGTGAAGCCCCATCCATGGGATGCAGGCAGCAAACAAAACCACACCCCCTCTGGTCCGCAGAAAATCTCTCTATATGGAACCGGTCCATGGTGCCCAAAAGATTGGGGGCCACTGTTCTAGGCATTATACTGATTGTTTCAGACATGACAGATTCTTTCTGCCTTCCTCTCTGAAAATCCAGTTACTTACTTCCTTTTTTAATTTAGATCTGACTTTCTGGAGATGAGAGATTAAGACTACAAACAAGAATCTGGGGCAAAACCTCAAGTCCTCTTTTTAATTAGTCAAAGTATATCAATGTTGCTGGAAGACACAGTGACAAATACTTTTAAGAGGGGTAACAGACACGTTTCTGTGCTTTCACAGTATGCAGTGACTAGAATTTCCAGTGCTACAGCTAAGGCTGGAAGACAATGTTCTTTTGCAGAAGATAAATATGTGAGCCGAGATCTGGTAAAGTGTAGCTCAAGATTAAGCTTTCAGCCAGCAGCAACTGTGGTGTAATATCACTCATAATCCTTAGGGACAAATAGCCTTCGACAAAGAATTTTCAAATAATTTTCAAATTCCGCAGGGGGATATTGTATGCCAATCTGTAAC